CAATTAAATACTTTGTTAAATTAAAACCAGTTGGGAGCTTTTTTTTGTAACGCGTGTATAAACACATATCAAATACGGACTATCTGTTATCTGATCTCAAAAGCGCTGTATTAGAGCTATAAGTTACATCCCATCGGACACCTCACACAAGCCTTATTTTAAGAGTTTAACATACTTTCTTTTCCCTGTCTCTATATATTTGAGGTTCTTACAAGCTAAAGATACGATGTTACGAAAATAAAGTTACGGTACCCAGATAAACTAGTACTTGACACCATTGCAATAAGTAAGTGCTTTCAAAAAAATAGCGATGCAAATTGCAGCACTATTTATAACAAAATACCCTCATATTAAGCAATAACCATATAATAAGTTTAAAATTTCATTATGACGATGGCTGGTAGAGAAAACATTTTACGCATATACAAAACATTTTACACGAGCATCGTTAAAGTGAGGTCTTTGACAATCCTCTTACTCCCCAATACAATGCAGAGGTAATAAAACCACATGTAATTTGCAAATTAAATATTTATTAAAATAAAATAAAAAGTAAAATGGTCGAGTTTTTTTCACAAAAAGTTATTTCTGTGCGTTCGAATACTGATTCTGACAGCGCAATTAACGGGAACCACAGGGTTTTTGTTACATGTTATATACTTATCTGTATAAAAAAGCATAGAGGCTAATAATGAGCTTCACGGGGTTCTTGTTTCGTTAAATTATAAAACTCATCTTTGATTGTATATTATATCTAACAATACATGGACGATAGCTCACGAATGAGTCGTTTTAGCTCAGAGGCTAGCACTCAATGTAAATTCCAAGGTACGCTAGGAAACCGGGTTATATCCTAGCCGGCACCAATGTAATTGCTAAATACGAGTTTAGGTTTTAGTTCTCATACTTCAACACTACATATTTAAATAATACTGGTTTTTACGGATGTTATCGCATATATTAACTTTTTTATGGACACCCATGGTCATGGGGGGACTGAAATGTTCATCTTGGTCTCCCTCGTGACCATGGGTGCTGTAAAGTGCCCGAAACGTCGGGTATATTAAAATAATAATAAAGGCGATAAAATCCGTAAAAACTAGTATTATTTAAACTCATACTTCAATATTGATTTATCATGGGCTCTGTGGTAAGAAAGACGTCGCGAGGAAACTTGCATCTCTGAGGAATAAAAAAATTCAATACATGTGAAGTCCGCTAACACGTGTTCTGCGGAGGAACTTCCTTGCCCTAAACACTTTCAAAAATGAGAGTACATCTGTGCCTAGCTTTGGGACGTGTATGGTTTTGTACTTAAGTACATAATACGTACTTTAATTTTCTTTAGTTTTTACATAAAAGCTAGTGTTTATTTGGCGGTCATTGCTCCTAGTACTAAATATGAATAAGTTTTAATAATTTTTAAAGAAAGTTATTTGTTTAATTATGTAACATTCAAATATATACAATTTAAAACCTTAAAGTATCATACAGACCTATTTTTCTGGACGTTTCCTGTGATTCCTCGCTGATTGGTTATATTTAGCACTTGAGCAGCGACGACCACTCGCGGGTAAGCTTCTTTTAGGAACTTTACCGCACGTGGACCCCACGGGCTGGTTGTCTTTACAGGAAACGGCATAAATGTGTAGTTATCTCTCAGCGAATCATATTTGCGCCACTTAGTCAGCTGCCTCTGATGTCGACCTGGTTCTAAGACATACTCTTATCCTAATATAAAAGGCTGCCAAAGTATCTACGAAATTACCATCCCAAACCAGGATTTTACCTCTCTCCCAAGGGACATAAGTCATACCGTGGGGCCATGCTGCAATCGTTTCCAAATATTCGTTAAGATTTTAAAACCAGGGAAGCATTTGAACAATTTAACATAAAAGTTATTATATATGTTATTGTATATTATTATTTTTACATACTATAATATCTCAACCTAAAAATAAATAATTTGTTTTAGGTTGAGATTATAATACATAAAAGGCTTCATTCCCTTAGATGACTTTTACTTCGTTATTTTTAATAGGATATTCGTAAAGGTGAGTAACGAGCGCACAGTTCACCTAATGGTTAGTGGTTGCTGTGGTCCATAGACATCTACACCTTTCCTCTATTACGAATCAAAATGCAGATGCGTTGTCCTCCGTGATGACTAAAATTGAATACCTCGTTTCCAGTAAAAACGGTCTCCCATTCTCTACACTCACCATACAAAACACAGCAACGTAAAGCTGCTATTTTACGCTGATATTCTGTGAGAGTCCCACGGTCAAGTTGATCCATTCGTGCTACAATTATGCTACTAATACAGCCAAAGCACGGCTCCTCCACTTAAATTTGTTACGCTTCTAATTACGCCTAATCTCTAAATACACTAATCTAAAGACGCTAATCTTGTTACATTTCACAATTGTATTATGCTTCTAATTAACTAAGGGTTTATTTTTGATTTTCTCAAAGAGGGTTTTGTTCTTTATTAGTTGTTTCTTTTATAAAGATTTTCGCATATAATTAACTGTAAATATTTAAACACTTGGAATTGTTATAGATTCACAGAATTAATAATTTAATTTAAAAACGGCCACGTCAAAGTTATGTTAAATTTGTGTTTTTCAGATAATTGATAGAATCAGGCGTTACTTTGCAGAAATCCATTACAATAAAGATATTAATTATTTATCAGCCATCCGCTTAAAAAATACAGTGATGTGTCAGCGGCCAGCCGCCGTAGAGTCTAGACATCACCTGAAGATGGCTCGTGTAGAGGCGAAACACTTGTCGTATTGTCGTCGATGGTGTGTCTTTCCTGGAATAGTGGTGTTGGGAGTAGTGGTGCTGGGATTAGTGGTGACGGGATCACCGCACGCAATTGAGGGAGGGGGGGAGATGCTCTTCAATCCAGGTAAGACACATCATTGTATTTTTAAGCGGATGGTTGCGAATTAATTAATATCTTTATTGTATTTTTCAATTCTGATAAATTTGACTTATCCTTTCTTTGATTATTTTCTTATTTCTAAGTGAATCATCGTCATTATGTTTACGTTAAAACACTGCTGAACTGTGGTAGAGCCACGATGCAGGTATATTATGGTTGTAGCACGAATGGGTCGGCTAGTCGGGTGAAGGACTACGCTCTCAAAGAATATCTGCGTAAAATAACAATTTAATGCTGTTGTGTTTCGCATGGTAATTATAGAGAACCGGAAACTAACTAACACTTAACATCAGATGGGCTGTATGGTTAAAACAACATATGTTTGTGGTCAAAATACAGTGGATTCATCAACGCAGCTCCGCTCACGTCTATCTATACACTTGACTGTTCTAATACATATAATGGGTCTTCTATCCTTATCATCCGCCGTATTTGTCTAAACTAATACCGCGTCATTTTTACGTCCTTCTCAAAAATAAAAAATAAACATTAAAAGACGAGGGGAGGCTTCAAGCAAATAATGATTACTAGCTGCTTATATTTTTGAGATTTCTCAGGTATCCAAAAATATTTTTCAATTGAAAAATATCTTTTGATTTTTGGTTTTAGAACTTAGGTATGAAAAGTTGTATGTACTGTAATATACATATACTCTATATCTAATATATAACTATAATACCTTGGAAAGATCGATACTAATAAAATATTATGCGAATAAGCTAATTGAAGTCGAATTTGAAATGAGATATGTTTTCCTAATTTTGTTTTGTACGATTGTAGGCTCTTAACGATTCGTGAATAATATAGCATCGTTGTGCATTATTAACGTTAGTAAAATGGTTTCACTCTACTCAATAAAGAAATACATTTCTCTATAATCAATCCATTACGATCGAAGTTACGTATAGATATTTTCCTATGATTATATTTTTGAAATCAATCTGGGCTAACGCTTAACAGGCACTAGAACAAGGAAAGAATGAACGTATTAGAGTTAATTTAAGAGGGACTTACATAAAATTATCCACCACATTGTGGACGGCACGGGAATATCTACCAACAAATAAATTTTGTATGTTACTTGTCAATCCCTAATAGATTATATATACTTTCGACGGATAGCAGTGTAACCATTTCGTTAATTTCAGACATAAAATACCCAGACCAGCAACGGGGAGCAACTCTAAAGGCGCTATATGTCTGGTACTGCGATTACCAATTTGCCTGCAAGTGTGGCGATCAAAGTGGATTCTCCCTCAACCCCTCCCCTGTTGAAGCCCATGTCCAGCAGTAAACTTTAACGAGCTGATGAAAAATACATAAAATTACTATTTTAGTAGGGTAGACTGGGTACGGTTGTGACAATTTTCAATGGATCGCCGATAATTTTGTTAGTATGCCACTTAACTGGAAGAAAGATGTCTTTTATATTAAAGTATACATTTATCTACGTAAAAATACAAAAATTTTGCACTTATGTGCAATGGTTACCTTACACGAGCAAATCAGGAAAAAAAGGAATAACGTCACAACCGGCCACACCCCAGGGGCGGTTGTGACAGTGCTTGGGGTCGGTAGTGACAGGTTCAAAAATACACAAAAACAGTTTATAAATCACTTTTATTGCAAATAATATCTTACATAAGGCAACATAAATCTTCTTCTGGATAAATTGAACATTAACATAACAAAATAAATTAAGTCTAGGAACACTTTTATGGCTTAAAACAACTAAATAAAAAAAATGTTACTGTAGAGTCTACAGTTACGAGTACTATATAACAGTCTTTAATTATAATCTAATCAGTATAACTACAAAACAGATCTATTATAACAGTCTTCATATTACAATCAGTCAAAAAACTTAACTAAACATTTCTAATATATTGGGGTAACTGTGTTAAAATACAAAGTAAATATTTATTCAAAACCTCTCCTTCAACAAAAACTAAACATTTGTGTAAGTATCAACATGCAAAATCAAAAAATAGAAGGCATCTAAGGTTCGTTCTTAGTAATAAAAACTAAAAAAATAAGATGCCGAGACCTAGTCAGACTCATTACAGTTATGACAAATATAATGGCGACTACCACCTGCGCACTCTAAGTGGGACCAGAGCTCACATTTTCCTTGGCATTTGATCCATTTCTCACCAGCCTTACTTTCAGAATATGCGCCCATACAAATTATACAGAAATACTCTTCTTCATCCGATGACGACGGTGGTGTCTTCCTTTTCTTTTCTTTGCTTTTTCCTTTGTTTTTCCCTTTTGGTTCAGCAAGATTTATTTTTACCTGCTTAGCCTTTAACCGTCTCTCTTTTTCTTCATATTCTTGCCTAACCGTCTCTTTTTCAGGCGTGTCTGTATATATGGTCGATTTTTTGGTTCTGGAACTTTTTGTTTTTCTTTGGAGAGCCTTTGGAAAAGGCCGAATAATTTCAGGCGAAAAAACAGGTGGCGTGGTTGAGGATGACGCAGTTGGTTGAAAATTGCTTTGATTTGAAGTTGAAGATTCACCCATTAAAGAAGCGGAATGTTGCGGTATTTCATCGATCGATCCAGGATTGTTGTTTCCATCGTCTGGGTTTGGTCCGTCTGTTTGAAAGGAAGTTAAAAAATCAAATTCTTGTGTCGATGGTATTTCATTGTTAGCTGCAGAATTGTTCTCTTCAGTGTCAAGATTTGTTGTGTTCGTTACAAAAGATGATTCTGCAGAATTAGTCTCTCCAATGTCAGAGTTTGCTCTGTCCGGCACAAGAGATGGTGCTGCGGGACTATTCTCTTCAGTTTCAGGGTTTGGTCTGTCCGTTACAAAAGACGGTGCAAAGTCGATTTCTTGGAACAGATTACGATTATACGGATAAATACCAGTTTTGCAAAAACCAGCTTGAATGTTCGCTTGTGTAAAAGCCAGAGGCATAGAAGTTTTAATAACGCCTGGTATATCGTAAATCGTCATAGTTTTTCCAGGGTGACTCCGCATCCATCCATCGCAAGCAGTATTTATTGCTTTTTTGAAGGGTCCAAAGACAGATCGATCTAAGGGCTGCAGTTTATGCGAGCAGTGTGGAGGAAACGAAAGCAAAGTGATTCCATTTTCTTTACAAAAATCCAACGTGTTAATATGGATATGCGAGGAATGATTATCCACTAGCAAGACTTTATGCGTTGGGGAAGCATTAGAAAACTTCTTAAAATGTTCGAGAAACACTAGGAACGATGCATCTTGCATCCAGCCAGAAGGATTTGCTGTCCCAATCGATCCTACTGGTCCGTCCCTAATAAAATGATCGTGATAACGAACCCGTGGAAATATTATTAAAGGAGGGACAGTATTGCCCAAGGCATTTACTGCAATAGCGACCATGACTAATGTGCCTCGTTCGGCTGAAGTAACAGCTCCCACTTGCCGTATGCCACGTCTTGCTACTACTTTATCAGGTCTTTGGACGGTTGTGACACCTGTTTCGTCAACATTGTATATATCTTGGGGCTCATAAGTATGTCTATCCATAACAATTTGTAAATTGTCATAAAAAGCTTTGACATTAGTTGTGTTAAAGCTTGTCGCTCTTGAAAGGCTAGTAGCTTGAGCTACGCGAACAGAGAGTGATGGATTTCTATTCAAAAATGAACGAAACCATTCTTCACCAGCCATTTCATTCTCAGTCCAAGTATCAGGTCGCCTTAGATTGTATTTAATGGCAAGCTCAAAAGCTAATTTCCGTACTTCTTTTGGAGGAAGGCCAAAATAAATTTCTGCGCAACGTTTTATATATCTTGACAGCTGATGTTCTTGCTCCTCAGAGAAGACTTTATTATGAGCGACGTACCCCATGCTGACGCCGTCTTTATTGTTGCCCGCGTCGGCTCCATCACGTTTCCGAATGTATCGCAACAAAGACATGCGATTAACTTCATGCATTTCCGCAGCTCTCCGTAAAGAAGTTCCGCGTTTCAATTCTTTATAAGCATCTTGATATTGTGTTATATTACACTGCCCTCTTTCGGTCTTCCTCAAACGTTTCCTGGGCATCTAAAAGCAAAAATATTTTTTTTACATTTGTCACAACCGTACCCTGAAAATATGTCACAACCGTACCCAATGCACTTCTTCGAGAAAAAACAATTTCCATGACAATACAACATAACATATGTACAAAGTAATTATAGCTATATAATTACAAATGTTTCAGTTTTCACGAAGAAAAACACTCATTACTATATCTGTACACATATAACAATAATTATTAAAATATATCGAATAAAAATACTTACTTTTGACTGTTAAAAAGTAATATGGGCTTCTGCTAGCGTTAGTGTCGCGAAATGGCTGACGCAATACTGTGAAACACATTTAGACGGGCACACTGCCCCTCTCTCCCCTTGCAACCTTCCCGGTATTCCTTACAGATTCGCTAATATGACGACTGTCACAACCGTACCCTGGCACAACCGTACCCAGTCTACCCTACCGGTATCTGCATTTATGAATAGCCCCCAATAACTTGAATAGCTTCTTCAAGAAGTTGCTTTAAGTCCACACAAGATATGATTAGCAACATTGGACAGAAAGAAATCAGATTTGTAAACGTTGTTTTCATACAGACAAAAGCATAAAATTATCTTCTTCTTCTTCAGCATCTGGAAATGAGCCTCCAAGTTCTAAAAAGTTTTTATCGCACTTGTCAGGCATCGTTTTTAATGTTACTTATGGGCATCTATTTGACATCTGACTTAAACGGGACGGTTATAGTGCCAGAGCCACATGAGCCGTTTGATACTACGCATCGTTGACTTTTATGCCGTTCAAGGGCTGAAACCAGGTAGTGGGTTTTGTTGCCACCACACAACAATTATTTCTAAATTAAATTTTTATAATTTGGAGATTCAAAAACGAAAGGATTTTTTTTACACATACGTTCTCTCAATCTTTAATATATATTTTATGATAACATACTACATTACTGAATTTTCTCTATCGGTATAGAAGGTTTTTTTTATAAAAGGGTTTTTTTTGTTGTTTAGGGTGTTACAAAGAGATCACAAAGTATCTCAACATTAATGGTATTTTATACTACTGTATTATAAATAAATTCTATAGTTTTTTTTAATAAACAAAATGTAAAAAAAATTTTCAATTTAAAAAGGCGTATAATATATTTTAACCATAATTATAAAAAGTCTTTCACTATAATTAGCAATTTTTTTAAACCAGTCGATACTTCTAACTCTAATAATTTATATTAATCACAAAAATATACTTCGCGGCAAGTTTGAGTATGGTCGGTGGGACGTGCTTGTGTCAAAGGTGTTTCGATGAGTCAAAAATACTGCCCCTTTGACCCTGCATTTGCAGTTGCTCTTTGAGCTTCACATAGGCAATATAGTAATCTCTCTTTGGTCGTGTTCTATTGCTATCCCATCAGCCTATGAGTAAGGGAATAGAGACCCAGAGTGAAGACCTATTGCGCACACACTCGTAAACTATAATTCGAACCTGCACAGATGGCTATACTCCTTTAAGAATGTCCGGTGGCCGCTTTATGTCGTACTTAAACCCTACATTACCAGTACTATTACCAGTACCAGTACATTACCACAAATATACAAAGTGCTAGATTATTGCGTTTAAGAAGAAGCAACACGATCGTTACCGTAAGCGATAAAAAGAGATATAATTTTTTTTGACAGGTTTCAAGAAGAATTGTCTAGAATTGTCTGGGTAATGGGTGAGCTGAAGCGTGCACGTAGTAACGTTTTTGTACGCTATGCGAAACTGATATTTGAAGTACTGACTAAAAAATTGAGCAACATTTATACGCAAACCGTCGTATTGGTGCCTTCGTTGAGTAATTGCTCAGTCCTTATATAAAAGAGCGATGGTAATCAAACAAACTAAAGAGCGGCTTGTTGTTATCAGCTACGCGCTTCCGTTTTGTGTAGGTTTCCTATTTCAATTACATTTTCTTTGTCTCGCTTTTTTAATTTATTAAATGAACAGGATTGCATATTATATAGAATGGAATAACGATCCCGAGATCATCCTTACAACTCAGAAATCATTTTTTACACGTCGTAAATTATATCTTAGTTATAAAATACGACGGTGTGAAAAGATGTAAAAATTTAAATATTTTAAAATATAACAGACATATTTTCTATACTTTCCTACGTTTATATTACTTTTATTTTATTACGTTTCCCTTCCCGTTAATAAGTAGAGTTTCTTCAAAGAACTTTACTTAAAGAGAAATGTTCGTTTGCTCGTACTTGCTTTAAATTCGATTCATTGAAATTAATTGACCGTCTGCTTTTAAAATTATGATCTTTTGAAACAAGAAATGGTATTTCACGTTTTGAAAGAAAAATATGTTGCTCACTTTAATTAGCTTATTAAATATTTGTCATTAAAATTGTAACCGCTAACAAGTGTTTAGTTAATTATTTAAGATTAACAATTACGAAACTTTTAAAATTGTTTTACGTGATGTCAACGGGTCGGCTCGATTGAGGTAGGATCACGCTCTCAGAGAATACCAGCGTAAATCAAAAAAATATGTTTCATATGGTGAGTGTAGAGAACCGGATACCCTTTTTAGTAGAAACGAGGTATTTTATCTTAGTACACGCGTATGCATTTTGATTCTGAATCCAGAATAGATGTAAATGTCTTTGGGACGCAGCATCAACTTATTATCGCTTAGCGGTGGCTTATCAACCTTGTTCTATATAAAAAAATTATTAATTTGACTACTGTCGTATACCACTATTAACGCAAACGTTTCAAGCTTACTTGGAGTGGTTAACAAGGTATTTAATAATTTACTAATAACTGGCAATACTAGCATTCTTTAAAGAAAACAATAGCCAAATATTTGCTGTGATATATTAAAAATGGAGGTCTCTTTATTTAAAGTATAAATGCTGCACACACACAAGCTATTTGTGCTAAATATATAAGTATGAAAATAATTTATTTATTAGCAAAATAACATTAGTTTCTGAACCTCTTTAATACTCCACTTTGGAAATAAATAGTTGAATGTCGTTGAGTCCTTGAGGTAGTGTTGTCAACAAGTTTAATATATTTATCATATATATATACAACATGTAACATAATTAACGCACTTTGAGAAAGTAATTTGTTCGGAATCGTTTACTGAATCGATTCCTATCATTTTTAATATAGGTAATTTTTTATCCCAAAAATAATTAAAACTACGTAAATTACAGTCACACTAAATCTGTACAGTCAAAACAGACTGAAATGGACCGTAACTTAAGGCAATAAGACTTTTAAGAGTGCAATTTTATTTGTATAATTACTAATTCTGTCATTTAATAAAAATAAAGAAAAATAAACTTTATTTCAAGCACGTTAAAGTCTTTGCGCTCGTGGATTTGTACTGTGACCACAACATTCTTCCGGAATTAGTATAACTAATTTGATAAAAAATCAGTGCATAAAAATGTTTAACTAAAAATTCAGTGTATTTATGATTATAACATAATATACTAATTGAGGTGTCTGAGGGTGTGCGTTAATTACGTTACATATTATATATATATATATATATATATATATATATATATATATATATATATATATATATATATATATATATATATATATATATATATAAATTTATTATGTTTTTAATATATCACATCAAACAAGCCATATGTTTGTTTTGATATATTAAACATAGGAATCTCCTTATTGAAAGTTAAAAAGCTACACACACAAGCTATTAATGCTATGTACGTATATAAGTATGAAAATAAATTTATTTATTCGTGAAATAACATTAGTTTAATAACTTCGATGTTGTTCGTGACAAGAGTAAGCAATAATAAGAGACATCGTGATAAAGTGTGGCAATAAAATTGTTTCGCAGCGTGAGTGTACGAAGCAACCTTTTCATACGCAACTCACGTTCGATCTTTGGCGCATATCCTTCCTACTCGCATGTCTTCATACGAAAATAATATAGTTGTCTAAAGTTAAATATAGCGATTGAAAAATTGAGTTGAAATTATAATGGAGCATATTGCATTAACTCTGTAGAATATATTGTAATATCACGTATTATATATATCATTGTAACATCACCCAGACCTACAAAGGAATATAGACGGAGCGAGCACTGTTTACACTTCAAGTCAATCTAGTCAATCTAGCCAAAACTATGCTAAACTTATTTTAAGAACAAGCACTCACGTTCAATTATGCATATAAAATCGATTGCTACCAACATCATTCATTCATATCATTTAGTTTTGAGTGCGTGTGTTTGGGTGCAGATACTATGAGATGTAATGTGCAACAATAGACCAATATGAAACTTTTTTCCCCTATTTCCACTCTTGGGGGCGGTATGTCTTCTTCAAAATTTAATGGGATCACCCATAAAGTACACCCTTATTAATAAAAAAGAATTATTAAAATCAATTCACAATCTCCGAAGATATCGCGTAAAGTGCATACAAAAAAATAATATGCACTCGATTTCAAGACCTCCTCCATTTTAAAATCGGTCAAAAATTATCTTAATTAACTTACGGCATTCGGGTATTGATAACAAAAACGGACATAAATCGTCAGACTCGATTTTCGTGATAGTTGAACTATCTATATACATAATTAAGATTATTTCAAGTCATCAGGCTGCGAAAAGCGCGCTGTCAAAAGCGTGTAGGACACGCTTTTGCTCGATGTTTTCTTAATCACATTGATAAAAAAATTGATACCTACGACGATAAAGTTACAAATTTACAAAATACGGGATCTACTTATATGAAAAGGAGGAAGGCATTGCTATTGTTGCGCGGCTAAGTTGACATCTGGCACTAGCGCCATCTAGTGTCGGGTAACGGAGCGAGGGGAGAGCTTTCCAAAAATGACATTACTAATCTTTCAACCGACAGCGCCATCTGTTGTGGAAACGAAGAACTAAGCTTCTAGAAGCTGAGACTCGAAATTACGGCGCTTGGTCGGTTGGCGCGCGTATTTACTCGAATGTTCTGGAATATTCGGGATGTTTTCGTGGAAGAGCCCTATATAAAGGCGCTGCAATACGCGATCGGGGAAGTATTGAATTCGGCGAGACAAGCGAAGCTTCGGAGCGAAATAAAGTGAATTAGTGTGCTTAATTATTAGTGTTTTAAGTTTTAATTTGTGTAAAGAAAATTAAAGTGTTAATTTAGGTAATTCTATCGGCAATTTTTATTGTCACGAACCTCAAGCTCGTAACAATTGGTGTCAGAAGTGGGATAAAATCATGCCGATTTTACCTAAGGAGAAAACGGAGGTTGTCCGTACCCGCAGTCAACGCCAGCATGAGACGGACCAGAGGAGATTTGGTGGTGCAACGCCGCAGACGTCGGAGGGCCAACTGCCAGCCACGGAGGCTGCGGGCCCGTCAGTAGCTCCTACATCTGCAGCACCTGACTTAGGTGCTCTGATGGCGATGCTACAGGAGCAGCTGCAGCGCGGACGAGAGGAACAGGCCCGTCTGTTGAAAGAGCAGCATGAGGAACAGGCTCGCCGACAGGAGGAACAGGCTCGCCGACAGGAGGAACAGGTCCGTCGGTTGGAAGAGCAGCTGCGGGGCGGCCAGGAAGAACAGATGCTTCTCATGAAGGACCTTCACGCTACCTTCGGGAAGAGATAAGGGAGGTGAAGGATAAGGTTGCTCAACCGTGTCGGAGACAAGTTAAGGAAACGCTGGATGAACTCAAACTTGGACGAACTACAGCTCCCGTAGTAGCTACTACACCTTCGCTACGTGGGTTCAAGGTGCCACCGTTCGACGGGACTTCTTCCTGGTCAGCCTACAAAATCCAGTTCGAGGCTGTTATGAAGGCGAACGGCTGGAATAAAAGTCAGTGACCGCTCTCACACTAGGCCTATATATATATATATATATATATATATATATATATATATATATATATATATATATATATATATATATATATATATATATTATATTATATCAAAAGAAGAGGAAAAATACAGGGAGATAAGTATAGAAGAAATAACGAAAAACATGAAAGTAGGTAAGGTAGCCGGATATTATAGAATATCACTCGAAATGCTAAAGGTTGGAGAGAAAATGCTGTACACCTTGTTTAATTTATGTTGGGAACTGAAGTCCAGGAGACCGGTGCAAAGCTGTGATATAGGGGAAAAGGGTCGCAGCAGGACTGTAAAAACTGCCATGGTATCAGCCTTCTTAGCATTGTGTGAAAACTCTATTCTAAGGTTCTTTGCTAATTGAAAGAGTTATGAAAGAAGCTGATGGAAAAATTTGGGATGTTCAAGCGGGTCTTAGAAAGGCAATGGGGTATACAGATAAAATATTTTCTATGCGCATGAACGCGGAGAAGTTTTTGGCCAAAAACCAAAAAGATTTTTGTACTGGGAAAAGGCTTACGACACAGTGGACAGGGATGTGTTATAGCAAACGCTGAACTCATTAGGTTGAGCGCTGGGTTAATACAGACACTAAAGTCTATTTATAGGACTCTAATGCTTGTTTTAGGATAGCCGGGGCCTACTCGAACTGCTTTGGAATTCATAAAGGTGTCAGACTGGGCTGTGTGCCTTCCCCGTGGCTAATCAACCCATTTATGGACAGTTGTTTGTAAAATTTTAAAGTTGAAGAATACGGGTTAAGAATAGGTGAGTTAACCGTCAAATGAATTTAGTTCGACGATGATCAAGTCACATTTGCGTCGTCAGTGGACGAGTTGTAAATGATGGTACATTAATGAACAGGTCATTAAAAGAAAGGGGAGTGAATGTGAAAACAAGTAAGACGAAAGTTATGGTGGTGGGGTGACTAGGTTGCCCTTTAAAATCCGTTACAAATTCAATTCAATACATTAATAGATACGATAAACGCATTTGCTCTTACGGAAAAGAGAACATCAAATAAAAACAGCTCAAAATCTAAAGGAACAGGCTTTTACTTTGGGGGTGTTTCCGCTAGCGGCCTTTTACCAAAGCCTCAAAGTGATGGAACTGCTTTGAAACTGGTGGTGGTGCGCGACGGCAAATGCACTGGGGTTGACTGCCGAACGCCACGATGGAATATATTGTACCAGTGCGTGGCTAAATTGTACTATGAAAGCGGTCATCACCAAGGCTTGAACCGTTCTGTTTTATGACTTGACTGCCACAGGGTGCTATCACAGCTAGGATTGAGCTGCAACTGGTCGCATGATAATAACTACCGGTCTTAGCCGGCGGCGTTCTACCACCTTTCACTTTTGGCCAGTAAGCCTTCCAATGGGCGAATAAAATAAGACCACTAATATAGCCCCCTGCATTAGGCCAACCCCTGCAAGAAGGGAACGGAGTTGAGGAGGTTCTACCGGCTAATGTACTAACAAACAAAATGCGAAGGTATTTTTGGCGCAACCATTCCCCCCAGCTTGAAGTTTTACCTTCAAATCTAACTAAAGCTACTACTAAGACCTAATTTTGACTACTAACCTAACCAGAAAGACAATTTCAAAACTATTGTTTAAGAAAGGAACAGAGACACGACGCATATATGACCCGGTCGCGGTCTTAACACGGTCTATCCTCGTTACTCCACTGGACCTAGGAAAAAACCTCTTCAAAGACCCCTAATGGCCAATGAAGAAGAATCGCGTTCTCTTTAGGGACAAAAACTACAGTTCTAACCGTTAATGGTTTACCTGCTGTATACCATTTCTGCCATGACTGCAACGTATGCACATATTCGGTCCTCCAACGCTTCTAGAATGACTGTACAAACTTGTCCAATAACTTATGACGTGAAAGAACATGGAGTTTATCATCGTCTTTATTCGGCAGCCGATAATGCTCGAGCCAAGCATGTCTTTGGAGGAGGCACTGTTGCGTGCTGTAATTAATGTCTGGTTCATGGGGGACACTAGTTACCACTAGTGCCTTCTAGTGTCGAGTAGCAGAAGTAGGAGAGTCAAGATCCTTCTAGAAATTTCCATGCTAGAACTTTCTAGAACTATCGACACTTAGTCAGTTGGGACCGGTATTTACTCTATGTCTCTACTCGGTCTTTCTAGATGTTTCTACAGTAGAAGGTTCTGGAACTATCTAAGGCACTATATAAGACCGGTATAGACCGCGACCCGAAGCAGTATTGCATTAGTGAAGCAAGCGAATACTTCGAAGCGATGCAACTGCGAACTAAAGTGATCAGTAGTACAATTGTGATTTGTTATTAGTGTGGTTTTAAGTTTTAATTAGTGTTCTGTAATTAAATTATTATATGTAATGATTTATGAATATTTATGTTTAAAAATTTTAAAAACCTATTGGTATCTAAATAAATCCTAAGTACTTTGTGCATTGAATTCAGTCTGTCATAATGTCTTTAATTTTAACTATCACTGGTAATAAATCTATTCTTCAATCTGAATTTGTATCTCTTTAGTTATTTGAATGTAACTAATATTTTGTTTATATTGTTTGTTTATATTGTTCTACATTTGACACTATTCCTAACATAAATGAATTTAATAACGTTTTTTAAATAATAACGTAGTAAAAATTCCTTATGAAACATGATTTATCCGCTATAAATAAATATATTAAATCGAAAATCAAAGACTAACATAATGATTCATCCAAGTAATAATACTTTAATATGTTCTTTACTTTGTACTAAAGCAATTGAGTATAATAAAATGAAAAATTGTATTGGTCTATTGCTCTCGAGAACGATTTTAGAAGCAAATAAATGGCATGATTCAACTCACCTTGTAAATATTATACCAATGCCTGTGATGCGAATTGAATATGATCTCATATAAGGCTCTTTTACAAACGATTCACCTACGCATATAAAACATGGAATTGCGTTTAATATTAATTATATATATTCAGTAATAGTAAAAGTTTTGGAATAAGAGGGTAAACCAATTGATTTTAACAACAAAATCATTAATCTGTA